ACTTTTGTTCTTTGAATTTTGTACCACATAAATGTATTATCTATTTTTAAATATAAAAATTAAATCGATAACAGCTAACATCTCTTGAGTGCCTACTATGTGCCAGCACTGTTCTAGCACTTTATATGCTTTTAATTTTCACAATGACAATCTTTTTAATCCTTATTTACAGAAAAGGAAAGTGAAGCATAAAGAAAATAAATTATATGACGAAAGTAACACAGTTAATATGTAGGATTTAAAATTTGACCTAGGCTGCCTGGCACAGAGTCCTTGCTCCTGACCACGACGCTATACTGTCTCTCAGAAATTTAAAGGAGTAGAAGAGGAGAAAGGAAGCGGGGGGGGGGGCAGAGAAGGGGGTAAGAGGCAGAAAAATGGAAGGGAAACAAGAGGGGAGTGGAGGGGGAAGAAGAAGGGTAACAAGAGGAGGGAGGAGGGTATGTGCGGACTAGACAGGACAATTTAAAAGAAGTCCAGGCCTCTCTTTCCCAAACATCCTTAAAGTTCTGACTGTGGCCATTTGAACAGAATACTGAAGCCTGGGCGCAGGGTAGGTCCCAGGAAAGCCAGTGAGCCTAGTGGTGAAGAGCATAAACTCTGGAATTAAATTAGAGTTAGAATCCCAGCTCCACCATTTTGTGGCTGTTTCTTAGAGCAAAACCTTTCTAAGCTTCAGCTTCTTCATCTATAAAATGGGAATTAATAAAAATACTTGATTCACAGAATTGATAATGGGATTTAAAGAATGTACTTCAAGCACAGAGTGAAGGATAAGTGGTAGCTATCATGTCTTTGGTTAACTGGCTTTATGAACACTAATGATTGAGTTATAAGCATAAAAATCAGTGGGAAGGTTGTACTCTGTGGAAGAAAGACCATCGAACAGATAAAGGCCAAAGACAGCAGCTCCAAAAGGGGAGAATAAAGAAAAGAGCTAGAGTCATATACCCTCTGGCAGTTTCAGTTTCTCATGGAAATGCCCAAATCATATGCCACAAAGGAGAAATGAATTCCCACTGTGTACCTCTCAAGATTCTTTGGTTTCTTTTATATATATAATTTATTTTTATTTATTTCAGAGAGGAAGGGAGAGGGAGAGAGAGATAGAAATATCAATGATAAGAGAGAATCATTGATCAGCCGCCTTCCGCACACCCCCCACTGGGGACGGAGCCCGCAACCAGGCAAGTGCCCTTGACCAGAATCGAACCTGGGACCCTCCTGTCCACAGGCCGATGCTCTAACCACTGAGCAAAACCAGCCAGGGCATTCCTTGGTTTCTTAGCAGCCCATTTCCACACCTGTGCCAAAAGTGGTCAGCACCAAAGCACCCACACTGCCAGCCTTCCTTTGTAATGACAACCTCTTCATTAGGGCTCCCAGACCACTGGTCTATCCCAGTTTTAATTTCTCTACAGTTGTGCAATTGACAGTCCAGAGTTAAGAAAGATCTAAATTTCATGCTTCAGAAACACAGCTTTTATATATATACTAGAGGCCCGGTGCACAAAAATTTGTGCACTTGGGGGGGAGGGGGGTCCCTCTGCCCGGCCTGTGCCCTCTCGCAGTCTGGGACCCCTCAAGAGATAACGACCTGCTGGCTTAGGCCTGCTCCCAGGTGGCAGAGGGCAGGCCCAATCCCTAGGTGCAGCCCCTGGTCGGGCTCAGAGCAGGGCTGATTGGGGAGTTGGGGCGCAGTCCCCTGTCATGCACAGAGCAAGGCGGATCAGGAGGTTGCGATGCCACCCTCAGTCACGCTCAGGGTGGGGCCGATTGGGGGGTTGGGGCACCGCCCCCTGTCATGCACAGAGCAGGGCAGATTGGGAGGTTGCGATGCCACCCTCAGTCACGCTCAGGGTGGGGCCGATTGGGGGGTTGGGGCGCCACCCCCTGTCACGCACAGAGCAGGGCTGATCAGGGGGTTGGGGCGCTGCCCCCTGTCACCCACAGAGCAGGGCCCATCATGGGGTTGGGAAGCTCCCCCCTGTCACACACAGAGCAGGGCCGATCAGGGGGTTGGGACACCGCACCCTGTCACACACAGAGCCGCAGGGCGATCAGGGGGTTTGGGCGCTGCCCCCTGTCACCCTGATCTGGTGCCAGGAGGCCTCGCAGCTCCGCTGATCCCGGTGCTGGGAGGCATATTACCCTTTTACTATATAGGATAGAGGCCTGGTGCATGGGTGGGGGCCGGCTGGTTTGCCCTGAAGGGTGTCCTGGATCAGGGTGGGGGTCCCCACTGGGGTGCCTGGCCAGTCTGGGTGAGGGGCTGAGGGCTGTTTTCAGGCTGGTGGGTTGACTGAAGCTCCCAACCGCTCCTTTTTTTTCTCTTTTTTTAATTTTATTCTGGGCCAGCTTTAGCTCTGGCTCTAGCTCTGAGGCTTCGTATCTGGTTTGTTTGCCATTCTATAATCGAAACAATGTATAACTTCAGCTCTGAGATCCCGGCAGGCTGAAAGCTGGTTTCTAGGGTTTTGTTTAGCTTCTTATTTGCAACATAGTACATAGTTGCTTAGAGTTGCAACTCAGAGGCCGGCAAGTGAGGCGGGGAACGTTGGAGTCTGCAGTCACTGAAGCAAGGAAGCCTCATGTTCGCTTCCAGCTGCCTGGCTGCCGGCCGCCATCTTGGCTGACAGTTAATTTGCATAAGGATATGCTGATTAGCCAATGGGAAGGGTAGCGGTCGTACGCCAATTACCATGTTTCTCTTTTATTAGTGTAGATAAGCGAAGAAGACACTTGGAAAAAAAAATGGCACATGCATTTTCTGGAATGGACTTTTGGTAGATACTAGGGAGGCAAAATCCTTCACAGTCTGTTTATAGAGCACAAAAACAATACTTTCAGGCTGTTATATTAGGTTTTTAGCCACTAGTTCTCTAACTGTGTAGAAGTCTAGTTTGATTACAAAGGAGAACATCCACATATAATGATTATAATATATTTCATAATAATAATATCCATAGGCATGTCTATCACATAGAAAATATTCAATAAGTGCAGGCTAATAGTCCCATCATAAATATAGAATGATTATATTGCTACAGCTGTGGTTGTGTTTGGTGTTGACATCATATTTTTTGTTATCTCTATAATCCTGCTACACTGAAGGCCTCCCAAAGGCAGAGGTCAGGTCTCCTTCCTGTCTCCAGTGCCTAATAGCAGGCCCAGTGCCATTGGTGTTGAATAAATGTTCCAACGAATAGAATATCAGACTCATGGTAATGATAAATTATATTACTACTGAGTTCATGCTAAGACCTTATTTGCTAATAACTATCTCATATTCGTGCATCACCTTTCCCCTTTAAAATTTCTCCCCTCATTTTTCTGAGGTGATGGAAATGGTCCAAGCCATTGCCATTTCTCACTTGAACTTTGGCAATAACCTCTAACTGGTCTCCCTGCCTTTACCCTTATCCCCATGCAGCCAGATTGATCACATCACTCCTCTGCTCAAAACTCCCAAATGGCTTTATATCACACAGAACAAAACCCACAGACCTAGTCACCTAGAAGGTTCTACACAGTCTGTAGTCTATAGAGCCCCAAACTTACCCCAGCCCCTTTCGCATGCTCACTGCAACCACACTGGCTTCCTTGCCATTCAGCACGTATATCAGGCACTCCCTGTCTGGCCGTGGGATCTTCACATGTGTCCCTTCCTCCAGGAAGGCTCTTTGGCCTGATACCCAAATGACTGGCTTCCTCACCCCTAGTTTCTGCTTCCCTGTTACCTTCTCAGTGAGGCGTTCCCTGATCAATTTAAAACTACAACCCACCCCTCTTCTCCACATTAATACATGTCCTACCCCTGTCCCTGAGCTTTATTTTCTCTATAATATTTATCACCAACTAATACGCTCTAGACATTTTTGTTAATTATTCCTCTTTCTCTACTAGAAAGTCAGTCCTGTGAAGGTATGGAATTTTGACTGGTTATATTTTTTTCCTGTTGTATTCCCAGGCCCTAGACTAGTGCTAATAGCTAGTTGGCATAGTTATTCTGCAGAAAGATATAAATGTAGACCGGTGGGTGGCACACACGATCGGTGCTCCTGAGTAGCTGTGTGCTCCCCTACACTTCCTGGTCTTGTTTGTGGCTGGGTGGGGCCACTGGACTGATTTCTGACAAATGGGAATTTGAATGGAAGGGGTCTATTTGCCATTGGAACCACTAAGAGTCGGTATGTCTTCTCCACCCCTTCCTATCCCTGATTCAGAAGCCATGTGTGGTTCTCAAGATGGAGAAAACCTGGGTCCCTGTCACAAAGAGAGAAGAGCCCCTGCCAATCACATGGCCTTTCATGAGTAGGAAATAGACTATACTATGTGTTTTTACTTTAAAACTAAAGTCCCAGTGCACGGATTTGTGTACCAGTGGGGTCCCTTGTCATGGCCTGTGGGGATTGGGCCAAAACCGGCAGTCCAACGCCTACCACTCCTGCCTGCCAGAACATTTATCCCAGCCCTGCTGTGCCTGCTGTGGGCTCATGCCCAGTCAGTCGCAATCGGGAGAGGCTCGCACCGCCACAGCAGTACTCACCAGCCATGAGCCCTGCATCTGGCACCCATTGGTCAGCTGAACAGTGCTCCTACTGTGGGAGCACACTGACCACCAGGGGGCAGCTCCTGCATTGAGTGTCTTCCCCCTGGTGGTCAGTGCATGTCATAGCGACTGGTCGATCGGTCATTCAGTCATTCAGGCTTTTATATATATAGATGGATGGCACCTAGTTGTTCTTCCTGTAAAGTTTGTTCACTAACTGAATAATAATGCTGCTGACATTATTGACCTCAGAGAGGAAGGGAGAGGAAGAGAGGTAGAAACATCAATGATGAGGGAGAATCAATGATTGGCTGCCTCCTGCACGCCCCCACCCCCACTGTGGATCGAGTGGGCAACTTGGGCACATGCCCTTGACCAGAATGGAACCCAGGATCCTTCAATCCACAGGCCGATGCTCTATCCACTGAGCCAAACCAGCTAGGGCCAGAAACACAGGCTTTTATTAAAATATACAGTATCTTAAAAAGAAGAACTTGAGGCATTTCTTTGTGTTATATACAATAAGAGAATCATGATCCCTTCAGATGATTTTTTTTGTTTTAATATTACATTCTTGAGTTTCTTCTTCATCCCTGTTCTCCTTGACATCAGTCACTCTGTCAAACCCTAGAACCAGGAACATAAAGATGATCACAAACACAAAGAATATTCTCAGCAATTACAGATTTAACTCATGACCCTGCAAAAGGAGCCGATTTGCTGGGCCCTGAGGCAAGATACCATATTCCTTCCCCTCTTTTTCTTGTTCATATCTTACCATTTACCTTCACAGACATTAAGACATTACACTGTGATTTCTAAGGCCTTCGTTCTCCCTTAGTGACCTTTGAGAGAACGATCTTGTGTAAGCTGGGACCAAGGAGGAACTTCCTACACTTAAGGATTCCAGACGCTGAACAAAGGCCTGGGAGAGGCTCTTACATTACTTAGCAATGGGTCTAGGCTGGGCCCAGCACTCGTGAGAAGACAGTAACCACCTCTGGAGCAAGGACTAACTCCTTACACCTGTGTGTCCCTTCTTACTTTGGAGGTGAAGCCTTTGGCTGCTCGTGAGTAGGAACTGGAGACTGTCTGTGTGTCTCTCAGACAAGGGTTCCAGGAAGGAATGCTTACTCTGTATTGCTAAATTTCCATCAAAGGACTTGTTTTCCTCCAGGAATTCTCCCTCTATCCAAATACTGGCCAAGCAGGTGTCCAAAGGACTGATGATGTTAGTCAAGGACATGACTTCTCTCTTTCCATATCTCATTACAGAGGCTTTCAGCTCTGAGACCCACCGGTGATAGACAGGGCAGGTCACACATCGAGAGAAGAACTCCTTAAAGTACTGAAAGGAAAGGAGGGTCCATTAGCTCAGGGATTAGAACTTTCCCTCCCTCCACCCCACTCTGTCAGCACTTACAACGGCCCCCACTCAGCACGCTCACTCAGGCTGGGGGAACAAGGATGAGTTATTGGTGGCAAAGTAGGCACAAAAAGTTGGTTTGAACAGAGGAACTAGAAAGCAGGGCTGTAGGGAGATGTGCCAAATTAAAGACTGGCCAGAACGGGTCCACTGAGAAGGGCTGATGGTTAACGTTTCAATGGTGTTGGGCAGTAGCTGTGCAAAGGTTTCTCCTGCCTTTGGGATCCAGTCCTGACCTACGTGCAGGAATATCTGGGAGGGTACGTGAGGTAGGCAGAAAGACTTTCTAGGTGGAGGGACAAAAGAATTCAAGGGGACAAAAGAGACAGGCAGCAAAGAGAAGAGTAAGGGACAGATGCAGGTGGCAGAAAGAGTATCACAGGGTCAAACGCTACCTTAACTGTTAGTTGAAGGACAGTAGAGAAACAGGTACCTTTAAGACTTGACTCGGAGTCTCTGGGGGAATGTGCATGAAGACACCCTCTGGCACTTTCTGTAACATCAGCACATGGCACTCTAGGAACCGGACAAAGCCATGTGAACCAAACAGTGAGGCATTGGTTCTTTTCACCAACTGGCGAGCCTTGGAGAAGTGGTACTCAAACAGGTTCCACTCTGAGTCCTGGGCAAACCTGGAGGGAAAAACATCGCAGCTCTTGAGCTCTGTCCCCTGCTTACTAACCATGGTTATTTCATAGAAGCCTCCTTTTCTAAAGCTCTGAGACCTCCTTGATAGTGAGAATTGTGATGCTGGGAAGTGGCCAAGGTTACTAATTCGCATACAAGTTACTTTCTTGCATGTAAGTCGCAAGCAAAACTTAAAAGGAGACTATTGATATTCAGCCTTGCCATGGGTTATCTAGCACTTACATGTAACCCCAAACTTAACCCTCAACCTATAGGTCTAGACCTGTTGAAGAAAAAGAAGATCTCTTCTAATAAGAGGGGGATGGGAGGTGACAGTATTTAGAAGTGGGTCAGAGATGTGAAATAATGACTTCATAGTGTCCTTAAACTTCTACCCTTTCCCACAGACCCGGAGTAAGACTGGCACCACACATTACCACATGGCCAGAGAGGAGTGGACCCCCAGCATCACATTGCTCTGAGAGGTTAGAACGCAGCTATGCTCATAGTATTGAATGAAACGTAGACACTCTCCAAAGGGCCGGCACAGCAATCCTGTGGACAGATAAGGTAGCCAGGCTACTAGAAGCTGTCCATGTAGGAACTGGCTTCGAAGGTGTGTGGTACAGGGGAGGAGGTATATGTAAGGCAGACACCCCTGAATCACAATGTGGTTCCTAGACTTTGCAGAGCCAGGAGCTGGGAGCAGAGGCCATGCCAGGGGCCAGCTCATGACTGCCTGTGTTCCCAACCTCAGGCCCCATCTAAGGTCTGAATCCCTCAGGAGTACAAAAGAGCCATGCACAAGATTTACCTTTCCCGTAGAGCAGCAGATCTAAGCAAGCGGAATAGAAGCAGGCCAGGCCAAGGATATCATGACCCTGGGAAATGAGCGCCCACTGACTGTCCAGCACATGGACACACAGATCAAATCTGCCAAGAGACAGAGCCACTGGGACCAGCTAGGGAGTGGGGAGCACAGTGCAGGACGGGAGGGGATCTTACACCTTCCAAGCAGCCTAACATCCCGTGCACCTCCTCTCCACAGCTCTATTTATACAGAGAGCATCTGTACCTGGGACCAGAGCTCTCTCTAAGCAAAACAAGTGGGAAAATGCCTCTAAGACAGTTTCCAGGGTCTTGAACTACTACAATTCTCTACCCCCCTAAAGGAAAAGAGAGAGAGAGAGAGAGAGAGAGAGAGAGAGAGAGAACGAACTCATGGACACAGACAACAGTGTGGTGATTGCGGGATTGGGGAGTGGGGGTAGGTGGAAGTAGAAGAGGGTATAGGGGGATAAATGAACATGGAAAAAAATAAAATGAAGAAAAAAATTTATTTTAAAAAAAGAGCTCAGACTGTGCTTCCCACTGCTAACCCCCACACCTAAGATAGTGCTTCCTGTAGTAACAGGAGAAGAGACAGCTGTGGAAATGAACAGCTGTCTCTTCTCATCTCATCTTCTATGGGAGATCATACCCTCCCCTCTTAAGCAATGAATAGAAATGAAAAAAAAAATCTTAATACTTCTTCTTGAGAAATGCAGATCTAAAGAGAACTGAGAGAACCAGATTCTGCAGAGTTGGTTTCCGGAGGTGCCTGCATATCTCATGAGCTTGAAAACCTGAGGAGGTAAGAGCATTGTGAGGTCTGGCTGTGAGTCTGAAGGCCTCAGGCCCACCAGCCCCAAGCCCCGTTACCCAGCTTGATGGAGACGTCAAGGTGGCCAAGACAGAGCTTGGTGTAGGCCAAGGTCTGCATGAGCTGCGCGGTGGCCAACAACCCCTCTCTGGAGAACCAGCACAGGCTGCTTTTCTGAATGGCCATTTGTTCGCAGTGCAGCCACTTCTCGGTGTCACCCACGTTCTGGGAGAACTGGGAGAGGGCCACGTAGGTAGAGACAACCTGCGGGGCAGAGCATAAGGCAAAACACTCTGGTTGTGCATTTACACTACATTCCATCCCATCCCTCTTCTGCATAACCGCCCATGCTGGTGCCATGCTGCTCATTAGGTCAGGACTCCTGGTGTCTCTACCACTCACCTCCAATCCAGCTATGAAGACATATCCTTCTCACCCTTACACTTCTAATGTGATTATTCTCACTGCCTGTTCTTTAGACAAACCATTTTCTCAACCTGCCTCTCGTCTTTTTCTCCAATCCCAGACTTTCCCTTGTAGAACACTGGCCAAACCTCATCAGTGTTGTCTCTAATTAAGGTCTCCAATTTTTGTTCTTTAGAGCTCTTCAGCATTGCTGCTAGGTTCCTGGTATAACTGTGCACATCTGACATAGTTGATGATTCTCTTCTCAAAGTAGTTTTCAGTAGGTCTTCAGGACACCATGCTCTCTCAGTTTCCCTCCTTTTTCTCTGGCAACTTCTCAGGTTCTTGTGCTGGTTTCCTTATGACTCTGACCTCTTCACACTGGAGCTATTAACTCAGTCCTTGGACCTTTTCTCATTCTCTTGGTGATCTCACCGAATTTCCTGGCTTTAAATACCATTTATACACTGATGATTCCAAATTTGTACTTCCAGCACAGAGCTCTCTCAGTTTATATTCAACTGCCTACACATCTCCACCTGGATGTCTAAGGACATCTCAAATTAAATCTGTCCTAAATCTTGCAGCCAATCTTCCCCCAAATCTGTTCCTTCTACAGACTTCCCCATCCCAATTAAGAGCATTTCTATCCCTCTGGAAGTCCACATTGCAAATCCTTGGATTATCCTTGACACTTCTCTCTCACATCCTGGAATTAATCTGTGAGCGAATCCTGTTGGCTCTCTCTTGAGAGAAGACCACTCCTCCCCACTTCCTCTGCCACAAGCCAAGCCAACCATCTCTTGCCTGTGTTGTTGTAATAGCCTCCTAACTGGTCTCCCAGCTACCTCTCTTGCACCTTTCAGTTATGGCAGTCAGAATAATCTTATTAAAATATAAGTAGATCCTGACCTCCCTCTTCTAAGAACCCACCAAAGGCTTCCCAGCTTCTTTACAATAAAGGCTGAAACCACTACAGTGGCCTATAAGGCCTGCAGGATCTGCTACCCATCCCTCCCTCTGACTCATCTCCTTCCTCTCTCTCCTTCCCTCCGTCCCCTCTAGTCACACTGGCCTCCTCACTGTTCCTCAAACACAGAGGGCATGCCCTATGCATTCACCGTGCCCTCTGCCTTACACTCTTCTCCCAGATAGCCATGCGGCTTACTTTCTCGCCTTCTTCAGATATGCACCCAAATGTTACCTACTCAGTGAGGCTTTCCCTGACTGCCTTATTTAAAACTGCACCCACCACTCCTAGATCCCCAGGTCCCCCTGCCTCCACTTATTTTTTCTCCATGACATTTATTATCACCTAACATACCATATATTTCACTTTTGTATTATCTATTTCCCTGGAACCAAGATCAGTGCCAGGACCTAATAGGTGTTCATCAAATATCTGTTGAACAAATGGGAGAGAGAGAGAGAGAGAGAGAGAGAGAGAGAGAGAGAGAGAGAGAGGCGCTAAAATTAGGAAGACACACTTCTCTTCCTTCTTTCTTCTTTTCCCTAAGTTAGCAATTTAAATCCTTTTTTTAGATCATGAACTTTTTTGAGAATCTGATGAAAGCTATGACCCCTTCCCGACCTTCCACCACTCCCCAAATGCTCTTTTGAACACACACACACACACACACACACACACACACACAGTTCTATATTCAGTTCAGTGAGTTCACAGGCGGCTTCATGCCTGGAAAACCCATCTATAAACTGCAAGTTGAGAAACCCTGCTCAAACCCATGGTCAGTGTTGTCCTATTAAATGTGGGTTATTGTGGGACCATGCAAAACCCAGGAACTTGGCAGCGTCTGTCTCCCTAGCATTTCAGGTTTCTGAGTAGGTCTGGGGGTAAAGCAAGGACTGGTTTACCTGGGCTTCATTGGCAAACTCCTCGGCTGAATTCTTCTGCATCAGCGTGGCCAGGCAGGCAAACCTGCGGCTGCTGGCTGTGGCCTCCAGGTTATAGAGCTGCCAGAGCAGGGAGAGGCACTGCACCTGCTGCTGCAGGACTGCCAACTTCTTCTTACTGTTGTGAAGCACAGGTGGTTAGCATGCCTTATTCTTCACCAGTGCCCAGCTGTCCCTCCCCACAGAAATCCAAGTCTACTCCTCCGTGGGCCAGCTACAGACTTCCAAACTCAGAAATGTTTCTGGGATCCAACTACTTCTAACCTCTTAGACCTTTTTAACTCATCCCTCTTGACCAGGAAAAGTTCAGAGAAGTTTTTAAATAAAGGTTTACTCTTTGAATTGCTATTTTGATTAAATATATTTCTTTTAAATGATTATAGCTCAATAACTAGGTAGCAATTTTTATATCAGACAAATATTAAATTGCTACCTAGTTACATATCTGTATATGCATGTATGTACACACACACCTATCTTTATTTGGAAGAGACAAGGTAACACCACACTCCCAAAACAAAAGTCCTCATTCTGTTAAATCTAATTGGCTAGGGCAGTAAGGCAGAACTAGAACTGTCTGTGATATGCTTAAAAAAAGGAGTCTGAGCCCTAACCGGTTTGGCTCAGTGGATAGAGCATCGGCCTGCAGACTGAAGGGTCCCAGGTTCGATTCCGGTCAAGGGCATGTACCTTGGTTGCAGGCACATCCCCAGTTGGGGGTGTGCAGGAGGCAGCTGATGGATGTTTCTCTCTCATGGATGTTTCTAACTCTCTATCCCTCTCCCTTCCTCTCTGTAAAAAAATCAATAAAATATATTAAAAAAGAAGAAAAAAAAGGAGTCTGAGGTCAATATGGCAAAACTCTAGGCTGGGTCCTACTTTAGTTTCTCTGTGGCCCTAAAGGGGACCAGTGCAACTTCGCCAGCTTCTCACTTCTCACTAGGGTTGTCTGCAGGTTGGCTCAGGGAACGGGGATGCCAATATTTTTCCAGGAATGTTTGGAAAAGGACACCAAACCAGGTCCAAGGGAAATTCTTTTTCAGCAGTCGGAGAGCTTGCCTAGCCAGTTTTTTGGCCAAGGTGATCTGCCCCATGTTGAAACAGACCTAGACATGGGAAAATAAGAAACAGTAATGCAAATGTGGGAAGAGCAACCTGGACAAGGTCCTTGATATAACACACTGGCTCTTCTATCTTGGGATGTGCACTTAGGGCTAATGAGGTGCTTGAGTGAGTGCGTTGAGTTGGAGCAGAGCCTGGCTACTCTATCAAGCACTAGTAGGGCCATGAGCAAATAAAGGAGAAAACAGGGTTAAGGAGAAAGTACCCCCCACATTGTCAGTGAGCAGTAGAGGAAGGTTCTGGTTTAGAAAGTGATGCTGCTAGACTGAGGTGGGATTGTCATTTGGGCAAGGATTCAGATGCTGCGGAAAGCACCAGAAATATCACCTCACATATAAAGATACATAACACTGGGGGAGGGACACTGGGGAAGGGACACAGTGGCTAAGTGACAGGGTTGGGGAGATTTTCAACTATATGGTTTTTTTCTTCTAGCTTTATTAAGTATATTAATGTGGGCAATGTGATTTTTCTTTATTGAGATCTAATCAACATATAACATTGTATTAGTTTCAGTTGTACATGATTCATTATATGTATATATTACAAAATAATTGCCACAATAAGTTAATGTCCATCACCACACATAGTTAAAAATCTTCTTTTTCTTGTGATGAGAACTTCTGAGATCTACTTTCTTAGCAACTTTCAATTATACATCACAGTTTTATTAACTATAATCATCACACTATACATTACACCCCATTACTAGGCAATTCACAGAAAAATCAATGACTAATAAACATGTAAAAATAATGTACCATATTACATAGTTAAGATAACTTTCATTTATGTATTAGCAAGTTTTTAAAAGACTAATAGTATCTGATGTTGGTAAGGCTGTAAAGAAGTGTAAAAAAACTAATTGATATATTTTTGGTGAACAATTTGGCAATATATTTACTAAATGTAAAATCATATCTTCTGCCTTACTATTTCCACCTCTGGAAATTTCTTTTACAGAAACATTCTCACAAAAGGAGAAAGAGCTATTTCCAAGGATATTCACCATAGTGCACCTGAAGAATGAAATGGATAAGTAAACTTTGATATATGCATACAGTGAAATACTTGGCAGCTACAACTGTGATTGATGTACACCAATACACAAATATGTTCAATCTTCATTATTAAGAATAAAAGTCAGCTACAGAAGAGAATGAGGAATATGATTCTATTTTTAAAATAACAAAATAATAACGATATGACTGTGCATATAGCCAGATTATTAACTATGCTGGGGGTGGCATAGGATTATGAAGGTTGTTTCACTTTTTACATATTATGTATTTTCATGTTTTGAATTTGTGCACCTTTTATCATATTATCACATTTATAACTGCACATACACAAACACACACCCAAAAAAAATCAAAGGGATTTTAAAAGAAATAATAGGATAACTGTCAAGGAGAAATAACCCAAACTTCAAGGTCACCTCCACTCTCACCTCTGACCGAAGACGGCAGAAAGTGGCCTCCTCAAACTGACAGATCTTCACCTTGTGCCTTTTCAAAAATGAGAATGCAGAGGGCTGGCCCCGAAGACTGCTTGCCTTCCTCAAATAAAAGAAGGCCTTCAAACCAGACAAGGGATGGAGGAACTGGATTAGGATTCAGATGATGCTAGAGGTGAAGACTGGAGTAAGGATATGATGCGGGTCAAGATATGCACTTCAATCAGGTTGGATTTCGAGTTAGAAATGGGGAGCTGGACTGCACATGGCCGGGGAGGGGCAGGGCCGGCAGCTTGGTGTTCTCTCATTACCACATTCCCACTCATGTTTTCTCCTAAACCCTTTCCTACCCTTTCCTCGCTCCCACTCTCTCTCCAGGTAACTTGATAGTTAAGAAACCCAATCAAATCCCCAAGTAAAAGGGCTCATCTCAGAAAGCAGAGCTTGCTCACCATGTAGTTATCTGACAGGTCCAAGGAGGCAGCAGCAGCCTCCAGCAGGTAATAAAACGCACAGGTGTTTTCTCCGATGACCAGGCAGTGCTGGATGAGGGGCGAGAGCACTAACTTCAGGATTTCCTCACAGCGACAGGGCTTCGTGGTCAGCAGGTCGTTTTGGGGGCTGGCCTGAGCCAGCTTCCTGCTCACTCGATCCAGGAACTCTTCCTCTGACCTTTGTGGAGAGAAGATGAAGAAATGAGAGTGGCCAGGTGCAGCCATTTTTGTCAGGCATTACCGGGTCTCCAAGCCACTTTCCCAGGAAGCTTTCCTTTAGAACTCATTAATTCTATGTCTATCCTTCCCCTCCATCACTCTTAAAAGTCAGAGGCCTAATCTATAATGGCAAAGTCCTATTACAGAGTTTTTAAAAACCTAAAGTCAATCTAATACCTCACAAACTAAATGGAGAAACGACCACACCTGAAGAGTAAACTAACAATGTGTTCAATAAAATCACAAAGTGATACAAAGCAATAAGTAATAATACATTTATCTCAATGTATTTGAACTTTGTCACAGTACATTTGAACATTATCTTATATACCACCACCATCTTATCCTGCAATAACCCTGTCATTCCAGCAGGCAAAAGTTACTACCGTTTTGCAGATGAAGAGACTGAGATTGAGAGAGCTTAAGTGATTTATATAGGGCCTCAAAACTCCTAGTAGCTCACCTCTCTGACTACTAGTCCAGGGCACTTCCCACAGGTACCATGAGTTCAAAAGAGATCAGGTCTTTCTGAGACAGAATGATCGAAAAAAGTGGGCACTGAGGAGGGCTTTGAAGGCTGGTGAACATTCTGATAAGTGGAAGGAGATGGAGGCCACTTAGTATTTTAAAAAAGGAGAATTGTGTGAACCAGACACACAGGTGTGTGTGGAGGTGATTCATGTCAAATATGGATAGATTTATGTTTGAAAAGTAGAATATCAAGTTGGATAAGAGAGAGAAGACTACAGCGTGGCTGGTGAACTCAAGGTAGGGACATTTAATATCAGTGGGACAGGCATTTGAAAACCAGAGGTACATGGTTGGGAAGTGTAAGTTCATTTTAATATCAGTTGGGGTCAAAAATAATTGAGAAGGCAAATTTATAGCTGAATATAAAAACCCCTGCTCTGTGTACAATGCATTTGAGAGCTACTGGAAGTTTTTCTTAACCACTAAGAAATAATTCCTCTACAAAGAATCAAAAATTGCATTTTGAAATCTCTATTAACTTGAATAGAGATTTTGGGTGGTCAGATGCCTTCCTGGTCTGCAGGTGAGGTGAGACCAGTTTAGTGGTCAGCTGCGTCTCACTTTCTGCCCCTCCAGCCCATTCTCAGCATCTCCATCTACCTGCAGGGTGCACTTGTGAAGGCTTCCCGACTTCTGGACAGTTCTGTCTGGAACGGAAAACTATCTATAGGGAGAAAAAGATGATTATCTTTAGTACCTATGTTTGAATTAACTGAGGACATTTTAAATTTCTATCTTTCCTCTGCAGCTTAGTTCACTACATAATTTCCATGCCCTCCCCATTATAAGTTTAGGTTTAATATTTGCCTGCACACAAAATTAGGATAATAGATTGCAAATTCCTTAAAAGCAACGATTTGTCATTCAAATAGTAACTCCTTTAGTTCTCAAACCTTCCAAGCCAGTTCTTAAATCCCAGGAGGTACTCACTATTGGTTAATAAAGAAATATATAATGTATCCACTTGGTTTGATGACTACTTCTTATAGTAGGAATCCCTGAAAATGTGATTGGGTTTATGGACACAGAAGAGTGAACCACAAAACCTAAGACCTAGTGAGAAAATCATGAGAACACATGATGCCACAGTCCACTAGAGTCTCAGTGGCCAGTAGAAGTTTTCAACTTTACTTAGTTGGCGTTCAACAGCCTTCATCCTCCAGATTTGACTCTTCCTCTACAGCGGCTTTCTCCAAGATAAAAAAAAAAAACAAGGAATACACTGGTAATGATGTTGACATCCTATATAATAAAAGTCTAATATGCTAAGGGTCCGGTTGACCAGTCAGCCGTTCAACCAATGAAAGCATAATATGCTAATGATATGCTAAGGCTGCTCAACCGGTCACTATGATGTGCATTGACCACCAGAGGGCAGACGCTCCAACCAGTAGGTTTGCTTGCTGCTGGGGTCCAGCCAATCGAGACTGAGTAAGACAGGCTGGACACACCCTGGAGCCCTCCTGTGATCCCTCCCTGGCTGGCCAACCTTCCGCGTCCCTCCCTGGCCCTGATCATGCACCGGTGGGGTCCCTCAGACTGGCCTGTGCCCTCTCGTAATCCGGCATCCCTTGGGGGATGTTGGAGAGCTGGTTTTGGCCTGATCCCGCAGGCCAGGCTGAGGGACCCTACTGGTGCACAAATTCATGCACCAGGCCTCTAGTGTTACATATTAGAGTTAGGACTCGGAAGCATGAGTGGTGGGATTGAAAAGGAAGGAGTCTAAGAGAACTGCTGTAAAGAGGACTTGTGTTAAGTAAAAGTACCAGCTCTCAGCCCTGGCTGGTTTGGCTCAGTGGCTAGAGAGTCGGCCTGTGGACTCAAGGGTCCCAGGTTCGATTCCGGTCAAGGGCATGTACCTTGGTTGTGGGCACATCCCCAGTGGGGGGTGTGCAGGAGGCAGCTGATCGATGTTTCCCTCTCATCGATGTTTCTAACTCTCTATCCCTCTCCCTTCCTCTCTGTAAAATAATAAATAAAATATATTATTTTTTAAAAAGTACCAGCTCTCTGATGACAAATAATGTCAGGTAAGGATAAGGTAACTAAGAAACTGGAGTTTGGCAGCACTACTGCAATACACAATTCCCAGGGCGCCTTCACCTCACAGCCTGTGTGAGCAGCACCCTCTTGATCTGTGCAGAACCTGTGCTGATGGCCATGCACAGAGGCCTCTTCTGGGTTCGGCTGTGCTGGGAAGGTCTGGAGCCTTTCTCATATAGATTGATCAGGCTGTCTAATCTAAAGCTGAAAATGACCTCTTCAAAACAAAGGCCACATAGGAAATGTGAATGATAGCATAATCTCATCACAATAGCGGACTAGGACACTCACTGTTACTGTCCTCTTCCCCTCAGAAAGTGCAAAAGTACAAATGCTCATAGAGTTCATCAGTCATGACCAATTTCTCCAAGTTACTGGTCTACCTTCACAGAGACACCAGATGTTACAGCTAGAAGAGGTATTAGGATCATAGATCAAATCCTTCATTTTAGTCCTTTACCTCCAATACGTCACCATCTCTTTCATATCCCTCTCCCCTGCCAACACCAATACCAACTTCTCTTCTATCAAAGTAGAAAAAGAGAAGAATGGTTGGATCTTGATAGCTGTCTTCAACTATAGAAGAAGACACAACTCTGACAAATGGGTGAAGTTGCAAGAAGGTAGATTTCACCCTGATGAAAGAAGCGATGTTCTAATAGCTGCTGGCAATGGAACAGGATGTCCTGTAAGGTAAACGAACTGAAAATGTTAAAACAAAGATGCATGAACTCTTATCTGAGATGTGGTAGAAGGGTTATAGGCTTTGGGGAACATCTGTCCACTAATCCAACCTTCCTGAAGTAGCTAACTCCTACTTATGCTCCAAGTCTAACTTCTGGCAGTATCTCCTTGAAGGAAGAGTCTTCTACTCATTCTTTGGGCCAGCTAACACCCCCTTCTCTAGGTACCCAGCCCCTATGCATGTCATTTTCATCTCCTTTTCCATGTTGGAATTCTCTATATGTCTGTATCACCCCAAAAAACTGATCATTTTAGGGAACAAGGCTCATTCATTTTGTATTCTTAACCGCATCTGATACACACTGACTCCATATATGTGTGCTGAGTGGAATAATTATAACAATAAAAAACAATAATTAAGATGTATGTGTACTAACCATGTGCCTGGCACAACAACGCTATAAAATAATATTGCTATTTTTCTCAATTAACTGAGGTTAAGGAACTTACCAAAGATTACCCCAGATTGCCAACCCAAACAAGTATGACCTCTAAAGTTCCTTTTAACTCAGAGATTACACTTTTCTTATCTCTGGTACTTCAGGGATAAATGGCTCTTTCTACCTATTTTTCTACCTTAATGTGATTTTACCTTTTGGATGAAGAGATCTGAGCTTATGAATAAAGAGAGGTGCTGTCCATATATCCTCTTTCTGCCCCCCTGGGTTTACCTTGGGGAGAAGGCAGCTGTAATCTGTCTGTGATCACTTGTGTTAACACGGAGCCAGTATCCTTGTAACTGCAGAATCGGGATGACCCTCTGGAGCTCTTGATAGAACAGATGGCAAAACGGTGGAAGGGGACAAAGTCCCCGCCCCTGCAACTGCCACAGCGGCAGGCCAAGTGTCGGAGAAAGCAGGCACATTCAAGATGCAGGGCTCTCTGTTGTGCCTTGGGCCACAGCTCCCAAGCAGCTTCCCGTAATAGAGGCACATCAAATTCTAACACCTCCGGAGGAGGTAGGAATAGTTCCTCTTTTTGCCTGAGAGGAGAGCCAGCATCTGAAATACAGAAAAATCTAAGTGAGAGCCTCCCTTAAAGTCCTTGCATGCTACCATGTAGCAAACTCCTAAGCACATGCTGCTAGTTTTAAAGAAATTGCATTTACAATTCCCACTCGCCTTCTTTGTATAAAGGATTTTACACCAATCTGAGAGTGACAGTGACCATATCTAGTACAAAGTACCATGGCGAAGAAATGATCAGGGGTACTGAAGTACACTTGGCTAGATTTCTTAGTTGTTCCTCCTAAAATGAGCTTTTGTATTACAAATTATTATAAACATCAAATTATTGAACAGAAATGCTCTGTTCAAATACAAGGCCCAAACATATTTCAAAGTCAAAAGAAAATTATTTTTGGATTTTATGTAATTTGGGTCTTCTATGTCACAATTTTATTCTTTCATGTGGAGAATTTGAGAATACCTGTTTCAGTACCACATATATTTATCTTTGTGAATTTCTAAAATTAGAAATAGTTTATCCTTCTTTCCATCTGAAATGCTCTGTTCAAATACAAGGCCCAAACATATTTCAAAGTCAAAAGAAAATTATTTTTGGATTTTATGTAATTTGGGTCTTCTATGTCACAATTTTATTCTTTCATGTGGAGAATTTGAGAATACCTGTTTCAGTACCACATATATTTATCTTTGTGAATTTCTAAAATTAGAAATAGTTTATCCTTCTTTCTTATTATTTCGACCTAGAAGCCAATAAAGGATGATGGCAATATTTTCTGAACCAAAAATTAAAACACAAATACTTGACATATGGTGCTAACAAGAAGTTAGAATTCTTGAAATTAAGACAATTCTGAAAAAAATACAAGCTATTCATTCACTATAACCATGGTTCCTTCATGATTAAAATAATTATTTTCCCCATTTCTTAGTTATAAGCTTTAAGAGACTGAGGCCCTTGATATATGATATTGATGCTCTTTCTTAACACAGATTCCATCCCCACCCCAACCACCCCCTCCCGATTCCCACCAAGGCTCTCTGTTCAGGCTTGAGAACAAGGGACCAGCTTTTGCTCACCTGAATTTTTCTTTTCCTCTTTGTTTTTTTCAATAATCTCAACAGAAAAAGGCACTGATCGTGGCTCAGCAGGAAGCTCCTGGCTCTGGCTGCACCAGCGGAGCACGTGCATATCCACAAGAGCCCTCAGCGCCTGCAGTAGCTTATGTTTACCCCAGCCAGGCAGCAGGTGCTGCAGCAGATCGATGTGGAAGGAGTGACCAATGACTGCAGCACACTTAAGCAGCAACTGTTCTTCTGGGCTCAGCTGATCCAGTTGGTTTACAGCTATTTCTAGAGGAAAAAAATCAGCAACGAACCAGCTTTCTACAACATATAATGCATTTTGTTGATAATCTGTTCATTTAACAAAATATAAAGGCTCACTTTTTGCCTACCCCTTCTTCCTCAGCCAAACCTCTTCAGAGAACCTTATTTTCATGTCCTCATTCGTTCTCAGGCTTCATTCATTGTTCAACCAACTATAATCAGATTTTCACCACATCACTTAAACTCTTCAACCATGGTCACCAAAACCCTTTGTTGGTAAACCCAAAGGTATGCCCTGAATCATTCAGCTAAACTAACAATTCTTCCCATTTTCATGTTTAATAAGTACTTAGACTTTTTCTTCTTACTTTGGACTAAACATGGAGGCCAGGTTTCCTGGTCCCAGAACTCCAATAATTATAAAGACGCTAATTAACTCTAAGCATTAGAGTAAATCTCTCCATATTATGACCCATATATTAAAGCAGTTGTATTGAACCAGTAAGTCACCAAGCCAAAAATCTTGGAATAATTCTAAACCTTTTTCTTTCCTTCACAACCAACTGGTCACCCACTTACCCTCCTTCTAAATGTTTTTGCATGTTTCCTCCTAAACAATTTTAGTATAAAAAGTCATTTTCACCTGGACCACTATACTACTCTGTTTTGAACATTTCCAACTTCTCCTCATTCTTATCCTAATAACATATTAGCTATTGGCAGAGTTATACACTTAAAGTACAAATATAATCATGTCAATCTCCTTTTTAAATACTTTTTAAAAAATATATTTTTTATTGATTTCAGAGAGAAAGGGAGAGGGAGAGAGAGATAGAAA